TTTGGAACGTATGTGTTCATTCTTTAAGAAAAGATATAGGGTGGTAAAGCAGATACTGCTGTGGCCAAAAGTTTGAACTATGATAATATTTCCACACCTTTGTGTATAAATTAGTAGTTAAAGTTGAATACACAACTTCTGATTACAGGCCAATTATGAAAAAGTGCATGAAGTATATCATTGATCGTGCTGAAAAGATTGAAAGCTAATAAAAGTTGTTAAGGCTCAAGTTTCTGAAGTCGAAAGTATAAATGTTAGAGAATATTGACAGAGTAAGTAATCTACCCAGAGAAAATGCCCACTTTTCTTGAGTACTGATAATTTCTTTCCCTTTGCATATGATACTTTATATATATGTTTTAAGCATTTTTATTTATGTGCTTCTAATTTTCTCTCAACTCGTAACAGCACTTTTTCTAGTAAATATCATCACAACGAGTTCATGATTCTTAATTTCTTCATCTTTTGTTTTGTTTTGTTTTTTTCTTTTTTTTTTTCTTTTTAGTGGGCAAGTTTTTGACATCTTCTTTGTGTCGATACATTTGGAGAGTTTGATTTATACAGAAAACTCTTTGGTGCATGGTTTCCATTGCTTTGGCAGAGAGGACTCTAGATTATTGTGGACGCTGTCAGAGGAAAATTGATGTTTTTGGTCTGTATGATTAGGATTGTGGAGTACTTTTTGAGATCATTTCTAAGGAAGGTGTAGTAAGGTAGACAACCAAGTGCCATTGTTCTCAAATGGTATCAGCTGTATAATGGATAATGTCCAGTACTGGAGCAGTGGATAAAAGTTGTGTCTCAGATTTGTTCTGTTGTTTGGATTAGTTGTTAAGCATGTTTTACTTGACTGCATCCTTGTAGCTCTCTTGCGCATGGATGAGGTGAAATAACTGATAAATCAAGAGTAAGCTATGTGCGTTTCTTGCTTATTTGATCTATATATGCCTTTCATGCTATGGACAGAGGGTAAAACATTCACAAAGTTAGCATAATTGAAACTTTATGAAGCATCATATTTCTCTCAGTTAATACTGAGCAGCTTTCTTTGTTGCATTTCAGTCCCGAGTATACAGGGAAGCAGGGACACGAATCCAACTTGGGATTTCAGTCTGCCATGGATTTAACAACACCAACTAGAAATTCTTTAATGCATACTGTGTGATACACAACTGAACATCTTCAACAGCTTCTGTTCTGCAGGGGAATTTTGGTCTCATCACCTCAATGTTTTAATTTTATACCATCAACAAATTTAATTTCTTCCCAATTCTTCGTATTTATTCTGAAAATCTTTTCCCAAGNTAATTTACACAATACTTAATTAAATGATTAGAATTTTATTAATTATAACATTACATTATAAATTTATGGTATGATTACTTAATTAATTATAACATTCTATTATAAACAATATTACAATACTTAATTAAATGATTAACAATTTAATTAATTATAATATTACATTATAATTAAACCCTAAACCCAAATAGTATATTTGTTAGGGGTGTATTTGTAAACTTTTAAGGTATTTTTGTCATTTTTTAAACTAACAGGGGTGTAATTGATTTTTTATAGGGTACCCTGGAAAGGAACCTGAACCTGCATTTTAGGTCCCGGTTCCTTGAATTGAAGAACCTGCACTGTGCGGTTCCAATTCTGATTCTAGTTCCTTTTTTTGAGAACCTGCACTGTGCGGTTCTGGTTCTCCTGGAAAATGGAGGGTACTCTACTAAATAATTCAAATAGAAATAGGCAAAAAGCCTAGGCCCAAAAACTGGTCCCAGGATCAGTCCAGGGACTGGACTGGGCCCTAGGGAGGGTGACTGGTCCTAGGCCCAGGCTCGGTTAATTTCAAAAAACCCCTAACGCAATTACCAAACCCCTCTGATGAATTACCAAAACCTCTATAATATATGAAATACATAATAAATTTAGGGATTAAAAATAATTTTATAATTATAGCGTAAATTGAAAGTTTTAGCCCCATAGTACCGGTCCTTGGACTGGCCCTAAACAGGTCAGGATTGGTCCTAGGTAATTTTGGCCCGATCCCTGAAGGATAGAGCCCAAATTGGGACCAGTCCTAGTTGGGCTCAGGCCTAGGACAGTCGGGCACAACTTTTGCCCACCTCTAAATTGAAACATCAGGATCTTTGGTTTTCTGAAGTAAAGTATACTTCACACTTAATACGAGAGATTGGAAGCACCGTAATATTATGTACTATGTAGTGCGTCCCAAAGATGAAAGTGTTTGGTACCTGTAATTGGGAAAAGGTTAAGCTTAAAGCTATTAATAGATTTATAACAGATTTTTATTATAATGTTTAGTTACAGGAATATTCCTTATAAGATGGACCTATATGAGTGTAAGAGTGTTGTCGTTTCTCATGCAACTTGACTGGTTACAGTCACAGAGTGTATAAAAAACAAAATATAAACACGGGGCAAATTCATGTGTCGGATCTTTGGTTTTCTAAGTATACTTTACCTATATGAGTGATAGCAAGCGTGTTCAATATTAGACATTGAGGAATAGGTAGGATTATGTTCGTTTATGTTTGGAAGGATAATCAATCAACATCAACAAGATATCCAGCATTCAAAACGTAATGTAAAGCAAACCAAGGGATCTAAAATCATCCATAGGACCAAAAATCCAGCTCAATCAAATCAACTAGCATCAAGTGAAAATGTCAATACAAGATAGAAATCAAATACATTAAAAAGTAAACATCCATGTTTATAAATCTAACTTCACTCTCTTGATTGAACACACACTCAACCACGATCTGATTGGACCCAAGCAACCTCTTGGATGACCTAAGCTCCACTCGAACTTGGACAACTGAAATCACTTTTCAGCTCACTGCTTGAACTTCCTTCAAGCTTCACCAATGGAACCACGTTCCAACAAATACTCAACAACAAGATAAGATCATCAAAATATTGAGCAATAAACAATTCTATAAGAATTTTAGAAAACAAAACAATGGAATATTTAGGGTCAAAAACGCAAGGAAGAAGATGATGAAAATATGTAATTCTTGCTTAATTAACCAATCTCATCAATACACGTAGCAGATAAACTCTACCAATCTTTATTGGACCATTGACAATTTCTACCAATCTTTGTTGGACCACTTTAGGACAAACAGACACTAAAAATGTCACATATACTGAGAGATTAGATTAAGAAAATGTTTACAAAATTAAGGAAAATGTGCAGACATATTTGCAACATGTCAAGACCAAGGAAATGTGTATACATATTTGCAATATGTTAGGACATGTATAAACTACATACATGATTATGCTTAAACTACTTAATGTGCAAACATTGAAATAAATGTGCACACACATATTTTCATAAGTTGACAAATACTCTTCCAGTTTGGTACCTGTAATTGGGAAGGTTAAGCTTAAAGCTATTAATAGATTTATAACAGATTTTTATTAAAATGTTTAGTTATAGGAATATTCCTTATATGGTGGACCTATATGAGTGTAAGAGCCTAGTTAGTAAAAACGCGTATTATACGCGAATTATACGGATAGCCATATAATTCACGTATAATACTTGCGTATCCGAATTTTGTAAAATCTGTCGTATAATTCGCGTATAGTAAGGTGTACCGTATAATTCGCGTATAATTCGCGAATTATTCGTGAATTATTGAAAAAAAAAAAATATAACCTCACACCCCCAAAATGACGTCGTTTTGGTGGGTTTATACAAAAAATTAAAACAGAAACAGATCTAGTTTACACTTCACTAGTTCAGTTTTAGTCGTTCTTCTTCAAATCTTCGGCAGTTCAGCAGGAGTTCTTCTTCCTCAGTTCAGTTCTTCTTCAGCTTTTCTTCCTCTGTTCTTCATGTTTTCAGCTTTCTTCATCTCTTATTCTCTTCTTCCAGGCTTCAACTTCAAGTTCAGGACTTCAAAGGTACACACTTTACACTTGTATCGTTTTGGTTCAGCGTGAGTTCTTCATGGAGAGGAAGAGAAGTATGAAAAGCGTGTTTCGTTTTGGAGAATGAGAGTTTCAGAGAGTGTGCAAAGTGTGAGTGTTTGTTTAGAGAGAAAAAAAAGTTTTTTAATATATCGAAAGAGAAACAGTGTGGGGGAGAGTGAAAGAGAAAGAGAAACTAATCTTTAACTAAATTAGGAAAAGGAGAAAGAGAGTAAAAAAATGAAATAATTGAATATTGATTATTAGATACGGTGTCGTATCATTTTCTATCAGAGTATCAGGTTGTAAATAGTCAAATTTCAATACAGAAAAATAGGAATTTTTTATTCCTTTGAATTAAACCCTCACTTCATGCATGTGTTTGGTAGAATTCAAAAACTTGATAAATGAAAATAAATTATATTGACCCTTCATGACTTAATTTAAAAACTTTGGTTAATTTATATTTTATAGGAATTTTTAATTAAAAATTCTTTATTGTGTATTTGTGTTATTGGTTAATTAAATATTTTGCATTTGATCAGGTATTTGATGATGTTCTCTACTTCTCTTTTATGTTCTTGTAAATACAGTCAAATTGAATACTTTTGTATTTGAAATGTTATGTTGATTTTAACCAGGTAGTCCATAAAAGTGTTAAAACTAAGATTGATATTGCCGTATTTTTCAAAACGTATTATTGACAATGCACCGTATTAAACCTGTATATACCCGTACCGTATTTTTTCCGTATCTGAATTTTATGACCAAATTTTTATAAACGTATTTTTCACCATTTATTGTATTATACCCATATAATTCTCGTACCGTTTTTTTGTCGTACCCGTATTAACTAACTAGGTGTAAGAGTGGAGTGTTTATAAAAAACGAAATATAAACACGCGGCAAATTCACGTGTCGGCTTAAAGAATTATCTGTATACATCATTTTGTACTTATTTTCACTTCTCTACATATTTTCTCCGCGTTTTTCTCTAATAATAAACAATGGTAATTTTCATTTCTACATCGGTTGCCTTCTGAAATCTACGATGAGCTACTACAATTAAATGTCCTGTAGGCCAACTGAAAACAACAATGACATCAATCTATCTTCTCACTACTCTCGGCTCTCTATAAATCACTCGTCCTGCCTTTCTACAATGCTCATTACAAGCCTTATCTAGTAAAAATGTCACCTTCCGGCACACAGGTTGCCACATCCAAGATCAGGAAAAAAATCTACTTTGCTCTCTTTGCTTCACTCTTAATAGTCACAGCCATAGTTACCATTGTTGCCGCCGTTATCTCCAGGAACAAATCTACCAACAACATCGATGACAAAATAGCTGCTCACCCCGTCGTCAGGTCCTCCTGCAGCCTCACATTTTACCCGCAACTATGCTTCTCAGCGCTCTCTAAAGTTCCAGACGCCGCATCAAAGATCACCTCTCCAAAAGATGTGATAGCTATGTCACTTAACGTCACTATAACTGCAGTCCAGAAAAATTACTTCAGTATCAAGAAGCTCACTAGCACTCGTTCGGGCGGCCGCACAAAACGTGATAAGGCTGCTCTGCATGATTGTCTTGAAATGGTGGATGAAACTCTTGACGAGCTCCACAAAATTAAACAAGAACTCCAGGAGTATCCGGCCGTTAACAAGTCTATATCCCAGCAAGCCGATGAACTCAAAATCCTGTTGAGTGCCTCAATGACCAACCAAGAAACTTGCCTTGATGGCTTCTCTCATGATAAGGCTGATAAAAAGGTTATTTTAACTAGTTTTACTTTTTAATTTTTCTAATATAACATCTTTGTAATACTAACAGAACTCTTTTTAATATGTTTGAAGGTTCGTAAAACATTGATTAAGGGTCAAATACACGTATTTAAGATGTGTAGCAATGCATTGGCCATGATCAAGAACTTGACTGACACTGATATGGCCAACGAGGTTCAGACCTCAAGAAGGCATCTTGGGGAGATAGAAAATGAAAAGGGGTGGCCTGAATGGTTATCAGCTGGAGACAGGAGGCTGCTGCAGTCCACAACAGTGACTCCTGACGTTACGGTGGCTGCCGATGGGACCGGCAACTACCTGACGGTGTCGGAGGCTGTGGCTGCTGCACCAGCGAGCAGTAGCACTAGATACATTATAAAGATTAAAGAGGGGGTTTACAGAGAAGTTGTGGATGTACCAAAGAGCAAAACTAATTTGATGTTTGTAGGAGATGGGAGGACCAACACTATTATTACTGCTAGTAATAATGTGGTTGATGGGAGCACCACATTCAACTCAGCCACTGTCGGTGAGTAAATTAATTATTAACTACTTAGATGATATTATTTCAACTTTTACCCATGTTTGCTACACTTTTCAAACGCATATTTGTTTTAATATTAACCATTCAATTCAAAACTCAATCTTATTCTATCCTACTCATAACATTTAATAATTATTTTTCTCAATAAAAGTTTATAAATTAACAAAAACACTCATACTCATATAACTAATTACTGACAATCGACCATCACTGTTAGATGGTGGCTGAAAGTTACTGTAATGGCGCACGATCAGATGGATCTGGCTATTGTGTGTCAATCTGGCCGTTTCTAACCAGATCTACTGTGGATCTGGTCAAAAACGACCTGATCTATGGCCAAAGATCTGGCTATTGATAACGGCCAGATCTTTGCCATTGCGATGACAATCGATCACCACTCGACGGTGGTGATCGACTGTCGACAATCAATTGGATAAGTAGAAGTGTTTTTATTAATTTATAAATTTTTATTATAGAAGATATTTAGCTAAATTAACAAATATAAGAGGTTAAAAAATACTCTAAATATTTTTTAAAAATATATCAAACACATTCTCATAATCTTATTCTATACTACTCAGATTAAAATACTATTTAAAAAAAGTTAAACAAACGGATTACCTTATTTTAAATTGATTTCCTGTTTAAGTATAGTTTGGTATGTAACGGAGAACGTGACCTTGATATTCCTCACGTTTAAATATGTAAAAGGTCAGTTTTTAATAGGACTAAGAAGATACGTTAATTGATACGATTAATTTGTCGTGTCTTGGGAAGTATGGATTCTTCAATTATACTATTATAGTGCACTTCTCTCTCCCAAACCCAACTTAAAGAGCCCAAGACACGTGTCGGTGAGTATTGCTATACTTTTGGGGCCTTCAGCAATTAAATTTATCCCTGTGGACCTTGTTTCAAACGCATATGCTTTTCACTTTTTCAGTTTTCACACGCAACCTGTTTGATTGATAGAAACACTTGGCAAAAATGAAAACATAGGTCCCCATTTGTGTAATTTATTTATGAGTGAGCCTAGAAGAGCCAGCTGTAAATGTGGGCCACATTCAGTAGATGAGACACCGACTATTCTTCTATTGTTTTGGGAGGCATTTGGATGAGGTCACTGCATTAAAGTTCAATTCTCAAGATACCATCTGGGTTCAGAGATTATTCCAATGTTTTTTTATCTTATCACTACAGCACTCCTGCACATGGACTTAAAATGTTTTTGTATTTACCAAGATTGGGAAATGGCTTCAGTCTATTTCGACTCTATAAACTTTAAGAAATCACAATGCATATTGAAACTTTTAGCAAGTTTGATTTGGGTTCCTAATAACGAGACTCTCATATGTTGCAGCTGTAGTTGGGACCGGGTTCTTGGCGAGGGACATAACCATTCAAAATGCTGCCGGACCATCAAAGCATCAAGCAGTGGCATTGCGTGTAGGCGCAGATTTTTCGGCATTTTACAGGTGTGGCTTTATAGCCTACCAGGACACCCTCTATGTGCACTCACTTCGCCAATTTTTTGTGAATTGCTATATAGCAGGCTCAGTGGACTTCATATTTGGAAATTCAGCAGTTGTTATTCAAAACACTGACATTCATGCTCGCCGCCCCGGTAATAAACAAAAGAACATGGTCACAGCACAAGGGCGCGATGACCCTAATCAAAACACAGGCATAGTGATTCAAAAATGCAGAATTGGTGCAACTTCAGATTTACTACCTGTAATTGACGAATTTCCAACATATTTAGGCAGACCATGGAAGGAGTATTCGAGAACAGTTGTAATGCAGACTGACATCAGTAATGTGATAAATCCAGCTGGCTGGTTTGAGTGGGATGGCGATTTTGCACTTGATACATTGTTCTATGCAGAGTATGCAAACACAGGCCCTGGTGCTGATACATCAAATAGAGTGACGTGGAAAGGATACAGGGTGATTACTGATGCAAGTGAGGTCGAAATGTTTACAGCTGAGAATTTTATTTCTGGGGGAAGTTGGTTAAGTTCTACTGGTTTCCCTTACACTCTTGGTCTCTGAAGTCATATTATAGCTTAATTAGCAGCCTATCTCTCGTTTGTAATAAATAATGGTTTGGCCTTCAGAGGATAATTGAAATTTGTTTACTTGTCTATAAATTTGAATATTTTTGTTGGGTAAAATCCCCTCAAGTTTCACTTTTTCCTCAAAGGATTTTTTCGTTGGTTTAAAATATGAAACAAGTTTTCTGGAGATGAAATTTGTTAGATATGATTAATACTTTGCATGGATTTGTTATTGATTTATTAATATTTGGGCCTGAGTCGGGTTAGATTCGGATAAACCCAAATAGGGTAGGGTTTTTTCTATTATATAATGTAATATTAGTCAGAAACTTAGGGTTACAAGAAAATAGAGAGAGTGAGTTGCCATCAATATTGATTTGTAATTGCTGTAGAGTTCTAAAACTCAATAAAATCTCTATTTGAATATTGGATGTAGTTCCTTAATTGGAACTATTTGATTTCAATCAGGGAAGAACATTCAAGAAACAGGGGAGAACATTTACAAAGAGTAAAGCTTATTATTCAGCTTCACTAATTGTATTGTGAGCAGTACAAAGTCTTTTATTACATTTGTTAACTATAGTTAATTAGTTAACTATAGTTCAATTAACTAACTCACAAACACTAACTACTACCACTTCTCTTGCATTACACTAACAACAGTACATCATATAACCATATAACAATCTACAAAATTGAATAATCCAACCCCCCCCCCCTTCTCTCTCTCTCTCTCTCTCTCTCAAGTTGGTGGGTGATGAATGTCAATCACTCCCAACTTGGATAGTAAATGGTGATGCACAGGACCAGAAAGAGTTTTAGTAAATAGATCTGTTGGTCGGTCATGAGTAGGAACAATCAACCCTTCTTTGATCTTGGTACGCACAATGTGGCAGTCAATATCAATATGTTTCGTACGCTCACGAAACATTTGATTGGAAGCAATATGAATTGTTGACTGATTATCACAGCAAAGTGAAATTGATAGCTAAACGGGAAGAGATAAGTCCTTCAAGCAACCAAACAATTTCACAAATGGTAGTGGTCATAGCTCGATATTCTGCTTTTGAAGAGAATCGAGAAACAATAGCCTGCCTTTTTTATTTCCATGACAACAAAAAACCTCCCAAAAAAATACAGAAGCCAGTAATAGACCTGCATGTCATAAGACACGAATCCAAATCACAAAAGGCCTGTAACCGAAGTGAACCATGCATAGGCAGGAGAGGTTTTAACATACCTCACAACCTTTAAAGCAACTTGAAGGTGAGATTCCTTAGGCTGATGCATAAATTGACTAAGAAGATTCACAGAAAAACTAAGGTCAGGTTTGGTCAAATATAAGTAAAGCAACTTTCCAATTTTTGATATTTGGATGGATATGACAAGATAGAATCAGGTTGACCAGGAAAATGCTCATCATATTCTGCAGTAGTAAATTTCATATTTGGATCAAGGGGAACCAAAGAAGGTTTGGCAGTAGCCAACCTTGACTCAGCAATTAACTCTAAAGCATATTTCCTTTGGCAAAGACTAATTCCCTTAGAAGATCTTGCAACCTCAAATCCTAAAAAGTATCTAAGTGCTCCCAAATCCTTCAACTTAAAATGGGAATGCAGTAGATCTTTAGTGGCTTGAATAAGGGAGGAATCACTACCAATAAGAACTAAGTCATCAACATAAATGAGTAAAATGACAATATGACCATTAACCTTTTGAAAGAAGAAGGAATGATCTGATGGTGATTGTTGGAATCCTTCTTGCATTAGGGCAGTAGTAAGCTTGGTATTCCAAGCTCTAGAGACTTGCTTCAAGCCATACAAAGACTTGTGTAGCTTACAAACCAAAGGGGTATCATGTTGTTTAGGAAACCCTTGAGGTAAATGCATGTATATTTACTCTTGTAAATATCCTTGAAGAAATACATTATCAACATCCATGTGATAAAGCGGCCAATTTTTCATAGAAGTAATGACCAAAACAAGCCTAACAGTAACTATTTTTACCACGAGAGAAAAAGTCTCCTCATTGGCAATCCCAGCTTGTTGTGTAAATCCCTTGGTAACTAACCTTGCCTTGTACCTTTCTAGGGTGTCATCTACCTTATATTTCAATTTATATACCCATTCACAACCGATTGGTACTTTGCCGGAAGGCAAAGGAACTAAGGACCAAGTCCCATTTCTTTCCAAGGCTTGAATTTCCTGTTGCATTGCAGCAATCCAATGGGAATCTTTGGATGCTTGGGTGAAGGAAGTAGGCTCTGTAAGAACTAAAATACCATATAGGCATTTTTGATAAGTGAGGGACAAGTGTTTATAGGATATATAGCTGTGTATGGGGTAAGGAATGGCAGTAGTCAAATTGGACTAAGGCAAAGTTGGACAGGCAAAATCTGTTGTCTAAATAAGTGGTCTAGTTGTCCTACTAGATCTTCTAGGTTGAACAAATGAACTAAGGACATAATCAGTTTGTGAAGGTAAAGCATTAGTATGAGTTGGGGGCAAAGAATCTGTTGGTTTTGTGTCTTGCAGAAGACTTGTATTTTCAGGACAGGAAGTTAAAACTGTATCAGAAATATTAGAATCTTATGCCATAAAAGAATCTAAGAAAATGGGCTTGTTAGAAGGATGCCATGTGAAAGGGAAAATTTGTTCATGAAAGACTACATCTCTATTAATGCAGATGGATTTAGTGTGCAAATCATATAAGATGTAACATTTTTTGTAGGAAAATAACCAAGGAAAATACAAGGTGTGGATCTCAGAGTGAACTTATCATGAAGAACTAAATTAGTAGCATATGCCAGGCAGCCAAAAACCCTTAAATGGTTTAATCCAGGTTTAATCCCGTAGAATTTTTCATATGGTGAAAGACCATTTAAGACTCTTGTAGGTAACCTATTAATGATGTATACTGCAGCCTTGACAGCATAACCTCATAAGTAATTTGGGATGCCAAACTGGAATTTAAATGCTCTAGCTATGTTTAGTATGTGCCTATGCTTTCTCTCTACCACTCCATTCTGTTGTGGAGTATATACACATGTGCTTTGGTGAATGATACCTAAACTAGTAAGCAGCTCATGACATTGATGATTAAAGATCTCCAACCCATTGTCACTCCTTATACATTTAGGTGTTTGGTTAAATTGATTTCTAATCATATGAATAAAGTTTTTCAATGTTTGGAAAACGTCTGACTTGAATTGCATCAGAATAGCCAAGTAATCCTAGAGAAATCATCTACTATAGTAAGGAAAAATCTAGCATTTCCTTGCGTAGGTATCTTATAGGGCCCCCAAACATCTAAATGCAACAATTTGAAAACATGTAAGGAATTTGTCTCACTTAATGCAAAAGGCAACCTAGTCTGTTTAGCCAATGGATAAACATCACAATGGAAATCATGTTGTTCAGGTAAAGTATTATTTATCCTTTTAAGTACTGAAAATGGCACATGTCCTAATCTTTTATGCTAAATAACAGTATCCTTAACATGTAATGCAGTGGACTTTATTAAAGAAGCAATAGGTACATTCGATTATTTACTAACATTTGTTTCAGGTCCTAAACTAGAAGATTGCTTACACACAACTTCCCCTTTTCCTAAAACATAACTAAACAGTTTTATTTGTGAACTAGGAACAAAATGGTATAACCCTTGGCATTGCTTACCAATCCCCTTCAGTTTGCCACTCCATAGATCCTGAATAACATAGAAATCAGGATACAATGTAATAGAACATCGACATGAAGAAGTCAATTTTGACACTGACAGTAGATTGTATTTAAAATCTGGCAAGAACAAAACCTTATCAAGACACAAGTTTTCCTACAATCTCAGAGAACCTACATGTTTAATGGGAGTCTTTGTACCATTGGGAAGACCTTCATAGTTTACTATATGGTTTGATAGCAACAGTAGATTCAAAACTCTGGAAATTATGGGTCATATGATCCGTGGACCCTGAATCTAGTATCCAATCCGTATTATTAGAACCGGAGTATAGAGAAATAGTGTTACTTGCTAAATTGGTAGATGACATTGAGATGTTCTCTTTGCCCAGCAATTGCAACAATTGTACATATTGTTCCGGTGTCAACATATTTCCAAGATTAGCTCTAGACTCTAGATTCACGACTTGTGTCTATGGAACTGATTCCTGCACAAATTGAGCTTGATTAGCCTTAGTCTTTTTTCCCTAGGTGAATTGGTAATTCGCTGGATATCCATGCAACTTATAGCAATTTTCCCTCTTATGTCCTAGAGCATGACAATAATCACACTCAATATAAGGTTTTTTTCCCCTTATATCTTGTGTTCTGGTTTTGACTCTTCTAACTCCCCTAAGAATATAAAGTTGTAGTCACTTCTGTGCTATGATTGAAATCAATGAGAACCTTTTGACTCTCATCTTGGCTAACTATCAAGTATGCCTGTTTCACCAAGGGTAGAGGAGCCATTAGCAAAATTTGACTTCCTACTAAAGCGTATGAATCATTAAGCCCAATCAAAAACTGCAGTAGCTTCTACTTATTCAAATGAGCTAAGTAAGCTTTGGCGGATGCACTGTTTGGTGTTGGGAGACTAACCAACGAACTCAATTCATCCCATGGGGTTTTGAGTTTATTGTAATACACTGCAACTGAGTTGGTTCCTTGCACCAAATTCACAATTTCTCTGTGTATCCCAAACACTCCCGTGCCATTAGCCTTGTTATATTGTTCTTGCAGATCCTACCACACTTGATGTGCACTAATTTGAATATATGATACTATTGAATATATCCTTAGAGACTGTGTTAAAGATCCATGCTAACACCATGGAGTTACATCGCTCACATTGTGCATGTAATGATTGATTAAAACGTGATTTCTGACAAGAACCATCCACAAACCCTAGCTTGTTCTTCGCTCTTAAGGACACGGTCATAGCTCTACTCCAGATTCCATATTTCTCCATTCCAGTGAGTTGCTCGGAGATCAAAACGGAACTAGGAGTATCCGAAGGATGGATGTAGAGAGGCGAGCTTGAATCTGTTTCCATTTCGCTTGCTTTAAATCACTTCTTCAATCGATTTATAGAGAGCTGGCCTAATCTTGACCCATCGTCGAATTCCTCAATCGATT